AAACGTGGTTTTTTAGATTAATTTTTTAATCTACTAAATTTTTCCTGTGTTCTTTCCATAATCTGCTGAGCACATATAATAGGAAAATTTGTTTTTGGTCTTTGCTTATATTGGGCTTCTTTTTGAGTCATGAGATCAGATCAATTGTGGTTTTCTTCTGCGCTGTTATTTTCTGTATCTTGAAGTTTCGAAAAATTACTTCATTCAATACTCGTGGGACATTTACCTAATTCTTGATCGATGGGTGAACCATTAAAACATATTCCCATCCCATTGAAGTCTAAGGAAAAATTCGATCCTACCTGCGGACATTCCGATATATGACAACATAAGGTCCAAGCACCAATTATGTCCGCATCTCGGGGCCCCACACCACTGTACAAAATTTGGCAAATTTTCGACAAAAACTTGATTCCTTCGAAATTCTAAGCGTAATATGACGCGTTTTCAAAACGTATTGAGTTATTTTTTCTGCAAAGACGGTATTCGCCAACTAGTCGTCCTACCACGTTACTTTTTTTTTCGCGTGATTCTAATATTTTGTTGAAACTTTGTCCCGCTGTTTCAGAATTCGCACCCGCAATACAAATACGGCTATGACATCAAGGGCGGCTATGATTTGAACGTGAATGCCCACGAATCTCGAGACGGATACATCACCAAAGGATCTTATTCTTTCAAGCAACCCGACGGTAAAACAAATTTCAATTTCCTAGGTTTTATCGTATTTAGAACCGGAAGAACGCGCTGATTTATTTTTTCTTTACAGGTTTGACGAGAATAGTTGACTATTACGTGGACAAGTGGGGCTTCCATCCGACAGTGAGATACGTTAAGCATTGAACAACAATTTTTTTCTGAGGAGACAAGCGACTTCGGGAACAAATCAGATTGGTCGTCCTTTTTCTGTTGTTGAAAAGACAAGGTAAAATACGTGAGATTTTTGTTGATTTCAAAAGTGCCCGGCAACGCGGAGAAAAGAATAGATTCGTGTTTTTGTCAAAATCGGACAGTGTTCTCGCAAGTGTTTTCTTTTGCCATTTGTGGATATATCATATATGTTCAATAAAAACTCTGTATATTCAGTTTTTTTTATTCACTTATATTTTCACCGTTGTGAGGATTAGGTTGTCTGCGGAACGAGACTGAATTGAAGGAAAAAAATCATGAAATTTCATCGAGGCATTTCTGAAAATTTTGTTTTACGGAAAATGAATGGAAGGAGAGATTGATGAATGATGACGCAATGGTGTTCCTTTTGAATGGCCTCCTAACTGCTGTTTCTGGGATTTCAGACAGGTGTCGATCGCTTGAATCACTGACTCCTGAAAAAAGATATGAAGCTGAATTGTAAAATAACCTGACCTATGTATCCAGCCTGACCTAATATAGTCCTCATGACACTCCCCTGACCAAATCTACCCTAAAGCAATTTAAATCCAGCTTCACACAAATGCCTCAATTAAAATCTTCTCTGCATGAACTCAGGCCAAACCTCAAGTTCTGCTGAACCTTATACCCAAACTTAATATATATAGACTTATTCATCCCATAGATGCATGGATATCTTATGGCCTAACTTAACTGACAGAATATCTTCAATTTGCACACCAGCCTAACTGTATCAGTACTATATATAAGAGGTTAAAAAAACTTGAGACTGCATCTAACTTGACAAAAGGTAGTTAAGCTTTTTAAAAACCTCAGACCGAATACATTACAGTGTATCTAACTTCTCTCACCGTAAACCAAAATGGAGTACAATCTTCTTGAGATAGAGTCATTATTGGGAACATGGTAAAATAGCTTGATTGATACAAAAAACTTGCCACATGAAGTTGCTTGATTAAAATTGAGGCTACAGATATTGGTCATGGGGAACTGAAAAAAAACTTTTTTGAAAGCAATCATTTGTTGGAACAAAATTTGTTGTACAGAGATTCTACTGTATAACAATGGATATTTATGTAACCTTGCTCAGGATCATACTTGACTTTGCGTATTTGACCAAAGCACAGTTTAAAAATAACAACAGCCTATAACTCAACTTGAACCCATAAAACAATTTGGATTCAGGCGACACCTATGCAAAAAAGAAAATGAAATGACGGCAGGGGACGTCGACAGTTGAAGGGACAAACAGCTGTTTTATTTTTGTCCCTTTATTTGGACAGGGACGAATCACTGATCTTGAGAGCTGTATATAGTACAGTACAGTAAGACTGCTGAGACGGGATTATTTTCTCCGGATGAACAAACGGCGTGATTCAATTCCCGCCAAGGCTGTTTTTCCGAGGCTGACGAGAAAATTCGTGCATCACAACAATAAGGAGCTTGATCGAAATATTTCGTGAATGCTAAAATCACCAGCCGCAGCAGCTGCATTCCTTTAAAACTTTTTTTTATGATGCTTAATAAAAAAAAAAATCTGTCCGCTTTTCACTTTTCATTCCGACGCGCTGTTCTCAGCTCACGGATTCATGGTCATACGCAATACTATAAAATAATGCCTCAAGAATTTTAGTGAGTCCGTGAATTATTTTTGTAGTTTCTGAAATCCGTCGAACAAGTTTTGGCAACGGAATGAGCAGAATAAAAGTTTACTGCAGTCGAGAATAATTGGGTGTAGTAGGGCTTCAGGCGGAAAATGACGTCACGCGTCTCAGCCACGATTTCGATCTTCGTTTCTGTCTTTCCGCCATCATTTTATTGTTTTATACATTATACAGCATTTTGATTTGTCCATGCAGCACAGTGGATTATTTAATTAATTGTAATCATGCTCTTTCTTTCCACGTAATTTACCCTTTAATTGACAGGAAGTAATCTGGAATCACTGAGATCACTTGAAAAAAGTTGAAATTTTTTCTTGGTGACTCTCATCATAAAGACTTCTGCTTCTAATAATCTTTTTTCGTGTGAAAAATGGACAAAAAATAAGCAGCATTAATTTTCGAATTCCTTCCGAAGTCGTCAGTATATGGATTTGAAGTTGCCAAACGTCTTCGAAGAAGAATAAAATGACTTTGAAATTCTACTTACCCCCAAAGAAAATTGGCGAAACGGAAGCTTGGTTACGCGAGAGCTTCATTGTTCAAAATATTATCGTTTCTATCAATTATCGAATTATGTATTTATGCATCTGTTGAAAAGCCCCAAATAATACAATCAATAAATTTTCACCATGAATGTAGTTCTCTGTCTCAATCACGAATGAAAGCAGAATTACGATCATGTTCCCTCTCGCTTATAAAATTAATCATCAGATATAATCGATCTTATCTTTTTCGGCGCAGTGAAACAGCCTCATATATATTATAAATCGCAGTAATAAAAATATTATTTATCAGCCGTGTAAGATATGCATCTGTCGCAGGAAAAAAAAACTCGAAACGTATTTAAAAACAAAAACGGTGGGCAAAAATGAGCATCGTTGATATTATTTTTATCATGCGAGGGGTCTAACAAAAGTTCTCGGGATATAAATTTTAATGGCATACNAATAGTTGACTATTACGTGGACAAGTGGGGCTTCCATCCGACAGTGAGATACGTTAAGCATTGAACAACAATTTTTTTCTGAGGAGACAAGCGACTTCGGGAACAAATCAGATTGGTCGTCCTTTTTTTGTTGTTGAAAAGACAAGGTAAAATACGTGAGATTTTTTTTGATTTCAAAAGTGCCCGGAAACGCGGACGAAAGAATAGATTCGTGTTTGTGTCAAAATCGGACAGTGTTCTCGCAAGTGCTTTCTTTTGCCATTTGTGGATATGTTCAATAAAAACTCTGTATATTCAGTTTTTTTGATTCACTTATACTTATACCGTTGTGACGATTAGGTTGTCTCCAAAATTAGACTGAATTGAAGGATAAAAAAATTATGAAATTTCATCGAGGCATTCCTGAAAAATTTGTTTTATGGAAAATGAATGGAAGGAGAGATTGATGAATGATGACGCAATGGTGTTCCTTTTGAATGGCCTCCTAACTGCTGTTTCTGGCATTTCAAACAGGTGTCGCTCGAATCACTGATCCCTGAAAAAAGATATGAAGCTGAATTGTAAAATAACCTGACCTATGTATCCAGCCTGACCTAATATAGTCCTCATGACACTCCCCTGACCAAATCTACCCTAAAGCAATTTAAATCCAGCTTCACAC